CTCGAGGGTAAAAAGTATAACTATTGCACTGTGTTGTACAGCTGAAACTAATTCTAAAAAATGTGTATTTCACAATAAAAAATAATAATAATAAAAAAAGAAAAAGCCTGAGGCACTGTGACATTACGAGTGGTTTGGCCATTATCAGCAGAGAGAAAACCAGATTCCTTCATGATTTCACAGCTTCATATCAAACTTACTCTAATTTCAAACTGATACTATTAAAGGTATCATGTCAAGCATAATTCCAGACACTACAGACTGATGGGTAAGAACAGTAGCCTCCTCAATCAGACTTGATATTTATGATCCTATCCTTTCTGATAAGACACAAACCAACACGTGAAGTATTTTGCATTTGGCAAACTAGAGACGTGGTCAAATGGCATTAGTCCTCCCACGTGTGTAATAATGTGAGGCCTCACACCTGGCCACATGCCAGGCTAACACTATTAGGCATTATTAGGTTATTATTTCAGTGTTACAAGGAGATCGTTAGCCTGGTGTTACTACTGAATCTACTGACAATGATCCCATTTTTCAGTAATAGAAAAATCATCACGGAGAAAATGGAAAAGGGCACTTGCTCTTGCTCTTCAGGAAGCATATACATTAAACCTTAAGTTTAAAAATCAGTTAAAATAAAAAGTTCTTAAAACCAGTGAAGTGTAAAGTTTAGAAATACAGCTTTTCTTACCTGTAACTCTCAATATAAACTATATGCATGAACTCAGCAGGCATAGGTGAATTCTGTGGAGCATTAAAAAGTCTGCCAGTGATATGAATAAAATCCTTACCAATCCAGAACAGTTTGGAGGAGAATTAATTCACTGAAAATGTCTGGATATGGAAAGGTTACTAACAGAAATGAAAAACCTCCAGGACCTACAAGTTTTCGGGAGCTGAGAAGTCACAGTGCTGCAGGTGGCTACTGAAACCCACCTTGACCGAGGTTGTTGTAATACCAGGATTTGGGGAGAACCACAATCTCCCCAACTGATACAACACTTTGAGTGGCTGGGCTCATGGGTCAAATTTTGAGGTCCCCAAAATGCTCATCAGAATTAGGGTTGGGGGCCCGGTGGAGGTGACAGCTGAGTCACATCAGCACAGCTGGTATGTGACAGCAAGCACCTCCCCAGAGTCTGCACCCTACCTGCTCACCTGCCTCACTCTAGTCCTGGTTTGGGGGCCCGTAATGGCTCTCAAACTAATTTTTTAATCATTACAGGAAGAAAACACATGTTACAGTCAGCATCCAGTACACCAGACACAACTAAAACACAGATCACAAGTAACAATATTAACCATACTAATCTTACCAAGGAAATGCACCCTGATTCTATTCTATTTTACCTTAAAAAACTGCTGTTTATGACCATCGAAAATGATTCTACACCCCGCTAATGAACTGCAAACCTGCAGTTATAAAAGCTTTGCTTTAGCAGGTGCTCAACAAACATTTTAACATGCAGGCTACTTGATGGAATTCCAACGGCAGCTAAAAACTATCAACATTGGGCATTTTTCATGATAGTCTTCAAGTGTTCGACAATGATTTAGGGGAACTCTTTCCTACTATTTCTAATCTTGCTATAATTGGGGATCTTGGGGGCACCACAGGAAACTACAGAGCCACCCACAGTGACACTGAGTTCACCTGAGCCCATTCCACTTACAACTCCTCTCCCATTTGAAACAAGCAAGATTTCTGAAATTTCCTGTGTTAGGACAGGAAAGCAACAAACAAGACGTGAGGCCCTCCCATCGCTCTCCCTCAGTAATTGCGCTGTACTCAGTCCGCAGCTGAGACATTTAAGATACCGCTGCTTTGTGACCCTGATGGAAGGGCTACCTGGTAAATTGTTTTCCTTACGGACCTAATAGTTCCCAACACTCCAATGTTGGTTTTTATTGCGTAAATAAAAGGGCATAGGGGACACACAGTTTAGGTTTTACAGTTGCAAGTATTTTAGACAGAATTTATTCACCTCACACAGCCGTCAGGAGGAACAGCTGTTAGAGGCTAACTATAAACGAGAATGGCGGAGAGGTCAGAATGGAAAAGATTAGCACTGAGTTCATCAGAGTAATAGAATCGTTCTTTCTCAGAAACGGGTTTGTTTTTGTTTTTTTTAAAGAAACGGGTACTTTTGAAATCAGTAACTTTCCAAGCAGGAGTATCTTTTTTACCATTTGCCCAAAAATAAGACCTAACCAGAAAATAAGCCCTCGCATGATTTTAGGTGCCAAAATATGGCACCTTGGCATACTGAATCTTTTAAGCCAAAGGAGTTTGTGGAAAAGGCACCCTTCTCCCTGAAACAGGTCATAAAACCCTCACGTGAGGGGTGCGTGCCCTCCACATCCTGGAGGAATCACATTAGGGCTTCTTCTCCGGCTCGGTCTTATTTTCGGGGAAACAAGGTAATGAAGCTTCATTTATAAAACAGATCAAAGCTCAAGTGTCGGGGGGGCCCAAGGCAAAGCCCAAGCATGGCTCCATTCCCTCGGTGGCCACCACCCCTCACACTGCCAAGGCGCGCCGTGGTCCCTGAGGCATGCAACACTCCACAGATGGCAGTTAAAACTACAGCCTTCAGGAGCATGGGCAAGGACTGACACCTTTAAACACACCTTGCATTTATGTCTCCATTCAATGAAAATACTTTCCTAGCGAGAACCAGAAAACAGAATCCTGCAGCCTGGTTTAATGTCTGGATAAACAAAGGTGAAAAAGGTACCCTGTCCTTAACTGTTAAGTGGATGAAGCCAAAAAAATTTAAAAAAAAAAATCTATTTTGAAAGCATCTTGCTTTTAAAGTACTTTTAGTTTCAATTGTGGGT